AGTGATTATCTAACATAAACAAAGCCCTGGGTTCCTTCCTCAAGCACTTGTGGCACAAACCAACCAACACAACCACTAAGCTGGGTGGTGGCGCACGCCTTTAATCCCAGCACTTGGGAGGCAGAGGCAGGCAGATCTCCAAGCAAGGCCAGCCTGATCTACAGGGTGAGTTCCAGGGCAGCCAGGGCTACACAGAGAAACCCTGTCTCGAAAATCCACAAAAATAAACAAACAATAAAATAATCTAATGTTAGTAGAGAAAAAGATGAAATTACAAACAAGCAAAAGGGGAGATCTTGAATTCAATTTATTATCATCTTGGTCTACAAAGCCTGTTAAGTGTCTGTGTGGCTTTTATTTAAACAATGATATTTCTAGGTATTGTAACGCTACTATACAAGCCATTATGTGTTTTGTTTCGTTCCTTAATCTAAATACAGTTGGCATCAAAAAACATTTATCAATTACATTATCACCAAAAAGCATGGGAGGGTGGTCTTGCATGGGGGGGGGTCTTGAAAAATGGCTCAACAGATGAGGGTGCCTGTTTTAAGAACCTGGAACCCACATAGAGAAGGGCGGAAAGAACAGACTCCACAGGTGTCCTCTGACCATATGCAGGTCATGGCAGGTACAAGCCCAGTTGGCACATCACATAACACCCTCCACTTGCCCCCACACACAATAATAATAATAACAACAGTGAAATTCTTTTTAAGGAAGAGGGACTACAAACAAATGAAGACATAGTCAAATTTCAAAATAAAGTCTAGGCCCTGTGGCATGTGCCTGTAGTCCCAGTCACTGAGAATGCTGAGGTAGGAGTGACTACACAACATCAACAAGACTCTGACCTCAAACAAACCACCCAGGTATGGTTATATACACCTGTAATCCTAACACTTGGGAGGGAGAAGCAGAAGGATCACAAGTTCAAGGCCATCTGTGATTACAAAGTTCAAAACTAAAACTAGCCTGGGCTATAAAACACACAGACTCAAAAAGGGGGATGGGGCAGAGAAGGTGGCTAGGGAATAT